TCCGATCTTAAAATATAAATGTAAAAATGCTCTTACCATTAAAAGTTGGATCTAATATTTTTGTTATGTTGATGTTGACCATTGATTATATTTCAAGTCTGCTCTCTTATATGCTTCACAACTATAGGATCCCATGATATTGGTCGTTTCTGGACTTCAAAAATTAACGCATCTTTCTTTTCGCTATTCAAAATTTCTATTTTTGGAGGCATGACACGTAATTCTTCTGCCGTGAATATATGCGAATCAATGTGTTAGTTATCTTTGTGATTAATTTTATCAACGGAACTATAATACAGAAAAGTAAAGCGAAACATTAAACAGAAATGTATAAATGCACAAGTATTAAATCTTGAAATGTTAATATAACTTTATTTAATTTTGTAGTACTTTATGTACATTTTATAAATTCATGCAAGAATATAGGTGCCCTGTGCTCACACGGCTAAAGTATGCGCAATGCATAATCGTCCAGTCAAATAATTAAAAATTTGAAAAATTGCTCAATATATTACTCAAATAATCTTAAAAAATATAAAGTTAAATAACTTATAAAAATATAATCCATTCTCTTAAATAGTACAATAATCTTTATTATTTAATAAAGAAAAGAAAACCAGAATATACGCATATATACATTTTCGTATATATTATTAAGATAATTTTGTTTAACAATACTTAGCCGTGCTTTGAATTTATTATTGCACGAATGCCACTAAACTTAATCTCTATTTAACCTCTGTTATGGTTTTCGATAAAAATATAAGTAGTCGAATCATTATACGTGACCAAATAAAAGTCGTCAAACCATTATAAGATTGAGATTGACGATTGGAAAAATACCTAGACAGAATTTTAATTTTCAAACTTTAATCTCAATTTTAATCTCAATCTTTCGATAAAAATATCAGTAGTCGAATCATTACGTGACTAAAAAGTCATCAAACCATTGGCTAAGATTGAGATTAGATGAAGATTAGAAAAATAGAACGATAGATACGGAATTCTAATTTCCATACTCCAATTTCAATCTTAATCTCAATCACCAATGCGTAGTCTGATACCGGCTTTATCTTTGATTCAATAGTTTTTATAAGTGGGGAAATGTAATAAAAGCATCGCTGAGTTAATCATATCTGCATTTTGATATAAAAATTAATATCAAGTTACACTGGCACCTTGTTTTGGTTATAGCTCAATAAAATGTTGTTCGTAAATGTATTGATTTGTTCGGCTATTGTTTTAATAAGTTATTTCTTTTGGAACTTCTACCAAAAAGTGTTTTTTATCAAAAGATTAGACAATGTACCAGGATTAAAAACATTGCCACTTATTGGTAGTTTCTATCATCTTCTGAAAAATTTTGAAGGTATAATAACAAATAGTTATAATATTATTGAAGATAGAGAAGAATTTAAACAGAAATTTAAAAATAGCATCATTATCATCATCGGCCATTACTCCACTGCTGAAAATAGGCCTCCCGTGAATGCTTCCACAGTGCTTTGTTTTGTGCAGCTTGTATCACGTTTGTGTGTATACGTCGTAGGTCGTCAGTCTATCTAGTAAGTGTCCCTATTAGTGTGCCTTTAAGAAAATTTGTTTATTACTGAATTAATTACTAAATACTGTAGCTTTCAATTTGTCTGTTTAAAGTTACTATCGATTTTTCAAATATTTCTTTTTCTTATGAAATTTTTTTTTGTGTAAAAAATATTAATATTTTAATATATTTTAATAAAATAAAAACAATGTTTTGTCCCTATTAGT